CACGAGGCGTACAGCTAGTTCGGATTAGAAGCCTAATCTGAACTAGCTAGTCCGTGCCACGTGTAGCCACACGGCACGGAGTCCGAACTAGCCAGCATTTAAAAATGGCGCCGGCCGGCTTCATGCAAATGAAGCCCGGGAAATTCAAATCCCGGGCTTCATTTGCAAGTGCGGATGACTACATTACCCCCGCTAGTTCGAACTAGCGGGGTAGTGTAGACATACCCTTATAGACAACCACCTAACCTCAGGATGATTCTTACCAACAACCACAGGACATACCACACTAATACCAACCCTGGAACTTTCCCTTGCAACAAACCCCAGTGCCAGCTTTGTCCTCATATTTACTCTGCTGACACCATTATTGGACCTAACCATGCCAGTTACAAGATCAAGAACACATATTCCTGTTCATCCAGAAATATAATTTATGCCATCATGTGCCTAAAGTGTCTGTCTGTTATGTATATTGGACAAACTTCTCAGACACTTCGCCAAAGAATCAATGCACATAAAACAGACATCAGGCTCTCTCACAGAGAGAAAACTGTTGCTTGCCATTTTAATCAGACTGACCATTCTCTCAATGACCTTAAAACATGCATATTGCTTCAAAGAGATTTTAACTCCAGACTTCAAAGAGAAGCCTCAGAACTGTCATTCATGCTTAAATTTGACACTACGTATGGGTCTTAACAAAGATGCTAATTATCTCACTCATTACAAAGATAGCTTCCCCAATTATCACCCCTAATGTCATTACCTCACAGACACTAACCTTCCCCCCTCACCCCTCCTCTGTCCTTAAATCTGATTTGTCAGTTTTATATGTGTTCACTTTTATTTGATTGTATCACTTTGGTATATATGGTCATGTCAATTTTCTTCTGCAAACTGATCTGAGGAAGTGGGTCTGGCTCACTAAAGCTCATCACCTAATAAACCATCCTGTTAGTCTTTAAAGTGCTGCATAGTCCTGTTTTTTGTTTCAAAGATTATACTATATCACACAAACCACCATCACCCATACCCTTGCCCTTGGCTGCCCTGAAGGGCTCTCCCAAAGGGCAGCCCCGTTTGGCTCATTCCTTTGGTGCAGTGCACCAGCGGTGGCCTCCTGGCTTTAAGTCTGCCCCTGGTAATGGCTGCAGGCAATGCCTGCAGCTGAAAGTTCTTAGTCCTAACGGGGCAGGCCTCTTACCCAAGAGATAGTGCAGCAACAGCAGGGCAAGGTCTTTCCTTCAAGGGCAGGGCTGCGGGAGATGTTAGTCCTTATTCCCAGCCCTCACCCCACCCTCCTACTCCTGAGGTCTGGAGAAGCTCATCTTATTAGTGTTTCTGGAGAAACTCATCTTATTAGTGTTTCTCATCCATCTATTTAATCTAATTTTTGAGGTTATTATGCAGCTGTTGAATTTGGTCCTTTACTCAGGTTTAACTTTGTCCTTATATACCCCTCTTGAGAGCTTTCTGAGGAGCTTGGAACTGAGCAGCAGGAACTGATTAATTTTGGGGTGTATGTGTCATTTAGCATACTTGTACTCGTGTCTTCAAGTGGGATTGTAATAAATGGCTCTTAGGCCAAAAATATTAGAGTTATTAATTAAGCTAGTTAAATAGTTGGTTGATTAGTTATTGATTGCCAAATTCTCTGTATCATCAATATATCTAAGAACCTGTAGTTAATGTTGTTATTTTTCCTCCCGATTCAGCTCTGTATCCCTTGGAAGACTGCATATAGAGAATAAATTCAGTATCCGAGTATCTCCGGCAGTTCGACATTATCGTAGTCCCAGTCTCCCATGTTTGTTAGATTTTGAGAAATTTGCAAAAAGTAAAGATGGAATTCCAAAAGACCTTGATGTTCATGAATGGGTCAAAGAAATCTGGAATAACTGGTTTGATGAGGCTTTCCCTCCTAGTAGGGCTTCAACTGAGGAAAAAGATGCTAAAGTACTAACAGACACTAAGAAGGAGGACTCTGCAGAACAAGAAAAACCGTATCTGGAAGTAGAACTAACGGACTTAGAGAATTCTATTTTTGTAGAAGATATTGCTGCTATTGAAGATTTGGAAACAGAAATCAATAGACTAACACTGTTAATTGAAAAGGAAGGAAAACCCTCCGCATTTCACTATTGTAGACGTGGTGCATTAAAGAGGAAATTAGGCAAGTTAAAGTCAGCCATGGATGATTTGGAAAATGTAAGTTTAATACAATGTTTGCTACCAAGAACTAAGTGTTTTTTGTTACCCTGCTGGGCATCTCATTTCTCCCAAGGCTGGCAGAGAGCTTTTAGCCAGCTTTGTGCCACTTTCTTTTGCCTCTCTCCCAGGCTGTCTCTAGACTACACCTCTCTGTCAACAGAGAGATGTAGATTAGGCATGTCGAAATTGCTAATGAAGCAGGGATTTAAATATCCCATGCTACATTAGCATAAACACGGCTGCTGCTTTTTTTTTTAAATGGAGTTTTTTTGGAAAAAAAAACAAAAAAACCCGGCAGTCTAGATGCGGATCTGTCAAAAATAAACCCTTTTTTGAAAGATCCTGTAAACCTTATTTTTTTGAGGAATACAGGATCTTTTGGAAAATGGATTATTTTCAACAGATCCATGTCTAGACTGCCAGGGGTTTTTTCGAAAAAGCTCTATTTCGAAAAAAAAAGCGGTGGCCATGTTTATGCTAATGAAGCGTGGGCTATTTAAAGCCCTCCTTCAATAGCAATTTCAATGTGCCTAATCTACATCTCTCTGTCAACAGAGAGGTGTAGTCTAGACCAGTGTTTCTCAATTTTATTTGGCCATGGAACCTGTTTCAGGTTTTTAGAATTTCAAGAAACCCCTAGGTTTGTCAAGCAAAAAAAAAAAAAAATACCATTCCTCCCCCAAAACCCTACCCCTTTGAGACCCCATCCTCTCTGTTTTTTTGAAAGATCCTGTAAACCTTATTTTTTTGAGGAATACAGGATCTTTTGGAAAATGGATTATTTTCAACAGATCCATGTCTAGACTGCCAGGGGTTTTTTCGAAAAAGCTCTATTTCGAAAAAAAAAGCGGTGGCCATGTTTATGCTAATGAAGCGTGGGCTATTTAAAGCCCTCCTTCAATAGCAATTTCAATGTGCCTAATCTACATCTCTCTGTCAACAGAGAGGTGTAGTCTAGACCAGTGTTTCTCAATTTTATTTGGCCATGGAACCTGTTTCAGGTTTTTAGAATTTCAAGAAACCCCTAGGTTTGTCAAGCAAAAAAAAAAAAAAATCACATTCCTTCCCCAAAACCCTACCCCTTGGAGGCCCCATCCTCTCTGTTCCCCTTCTCTCCATCACTTGCTATCCCCAGCCCTTATGCACTCTCATGGGGTTGATACAGGAGGTGTGGGCTCTGGGGTGGGAATGAGGGATTTGGGTGTGGGAAGGGGTGAGAAGTGCAAGCTCTGGGAGAGAATTTGGATGCAGGAGAAGGGGATGCTGGCTCAGGGAGGGGGCTCCAGGCTGGGGAGTGTTGGGCTCAAGTAGAAGGTTGGGGTACTGAGCTGTGAGGTTGCAGGAGTTTGGATTGGATATGTGAGGGGCTCATGGCAAAGAGGCTGTGAGTATGATGGGCTCAGGACACAGATTTGTGATGTGTGGATGGTGCCGGAGTGTTGTGGCAGAAGACTGAGGATGTGGGGATGCAGGAGTTAGGGGATGTAAGAGGCTCAGGACAGGGGGTTCCACTGTATGATAGGCTCAGATTTGGGGTCAGGTGGTCTGGGAGTGTTATGATGCTGCAGTGAGATGGGGATTTGGCCTCAATTGGGGCATGTTGGCCAGGCTTCATTTTTAAATAAAATATTATGTCAAACTCAAAAGGTTTTGTGATAGAAATGTAGCCGTGTTAGTCTGGTGTAGCTGAAACAAAATACAGGACTATGTAGCACTTTAAAGACTAACAAGATGGTTTATTAGATGATGAGCTTTCGTGGGCCAGACCCACTTCCTCAGATCAAATAGTGGAAGAAAATAGTCACAACCATATATACCAAAAGATACAATTTAAAAAAATGAACACATATGAAAAGGACAAATCACATTTCAGAACAGAATCTTGTTAGTCTTTAAAGTGCTACATAGTCTTGTATTTTGTTTCAAAAGGTTTTAGCATTGTCTTTATTTATGAGAAGGACGGGGAACCTGTTTTGAGTCAAGGGTCACTGACCCACAGAAAAGTCAGTTGGGGCCACACAAGTGATATGCAAAAAAACCCCTCCAAAATTCCCAAGCTTTTCTAATGTGGTCCTAACTGTGCTTGTGGGGGCAGGGGACAGGGTGCTAGTGGGTCCTGGGGCTGGGGAGAGGGTGCGGCTGGGTGGCAGTATGCTGGCACAAGTGGTGGGGTGCTGGGGCAGGATGCTGGGGTCAAGGACATGGTCCTGCTGGGTGCTAGGGTGGATGGCAGGGTGCTGGGGCCAGGGACAGGGTGCTGCTGGGTGTTAGGGTGGATGGCAGGGTGCTGGGGCCAGGGACAGGGTGCTGCTGGGTGCTGGGGTGAGTGGCAGGGTGGTAGGGCCAGGGCCAGGGTCTTGGGGTGGCTGGCCTGCTGAGTGCTAGGGTGGATAGCAGGGGGCTGGGGACAGGGTGCTGGGGACAGTGTTGGTTGGGCAGGGGGAGGATGGGGATTCTGGGCAGGGGACAGGGGCAGCTGGGACCAGTACCTGGCAATCCTGCAGCACCTCTGGGTTCCAGGAAGTGTGCGACTGCACTTCCCCTCCCCAAACAGCTGGCGTGCACGCTGCCTGAACAGCAGGGGCTGTTGCATTCCAGCAACTTACTTTCACGATGCTGTCCTGTGTGGGGATAGGAGGGAAAGTGCGGGGCGTCCCAAGGCAGAGAGCACTGTCTGTACAGTCGGAGCTATGCAGACCCGGGTCTCCTGACCTCCCCTCCAAATGCGCAGAAAGGCCGCGGAACTAAATTACCAGGTGCCACAGCCCCAGCTGTTCAGGCAGAGCACGCCAGCTCCTTTGGGGAGGGGAAGTGCTTCCCTCCCCACTGTGGGTCATGTGGGGTCACCCCTGTCTGGCACCCCTTCGTGTGCCAGCTGGGAGCAACTGTTCCCCTCTGCCCCTGCCTTGATACACCTCTGTGTCACCAGGGAGGAAGGGAAAACAAGTGTGCTGCTTCTTTAAGAAGCTGGTTAGCTGACACTCTCTCTTTCAGAGGGGGCAGGGGAGTGCCAGCTCCTCATGGAACCCCATTTGGGAAACACTGGTCTAGATGTACCCCCAGAATGGGATGGTCCCAGGTGCATATTGGGGGAATTGAGATACATAGCCAGAATACAAAGTCCTCTAGTAACATAATATTTCTTGAAGTCTGTAGCACCTGTCCCAAGCTAGACAGGCTCTGAATTGTCTTCTGGCTGGTAAGGGAGTGTGTTGAAAGTTGACAGTAAGGGTACATCTACACAACAGCATTATTTTGGAATAACTGATATTTTTCCGAAATAATATAGTGAGCATCTACACTACAAGTCTTTATTTCAAAATAATGTTGAGCTAAAGGACTTCTTACTCTGACTCATCATAACCCTCATTTCATGAGGAGTAAGGAAAGTCAAAGGAAGAGTGTTCTTCCTTTGACTTCCTCTGTGTATACAGTGCCAAAATCTGAATTAAACTGTTTCGACTCCAGCTACATGATTGATAGCCCTGCTGTGTAGATGTACCCTAAATTATTTTTGTTCCCAGCTGCTCCAAGACTCCTGGGTACAAGCCTTTATTTTTATAAGGGGCAGTATATTTTTATGCTTTACTAACATAAATATGATTATGATAATTAGAATATATAAATCTACACTGGTATTAGGCATGTTTGTTTTTGAACACTATTAAATCTATAAGAAATTTACAGAGTACCCACTTAATAGAGAAACTCCTCGCCTTCACCCAAGAAATGACACAATCTAAACTAAGCATAATAAAAAACAATTAAAATAAATTATAAACAGCAAAAATAAAAAGGTAAAATTTATAGTATATAACTTAAAAGGAGAAGTTTTATTTAATGTAAAAATCTTCACTTATATCCAATAATGTAGTTTTCATATTTATATACTTTTACTATGTGTTGTACAGCATCTAATGTATTGGGACTCTGATCTGGTTGGTGTCCAAACACTACTGGAATATACACATTAAATCATGATTATTATGATATTTAATCTCAGCCCTGAAGAATAAATAAATTGTTTATTCATGTTTTTTAATTACCTGTTCTGTCCTGCTTCTCAAGGTCATTAATGTGAGAGAGGTTTACTCTCCAATCTGTCTTTGTTGGGGGGATCTTATCTTCATTATTAATTCAAATTGTATCCAAATAGTGCTTATTCAATTTGCTTGTCGACTTTAGGTATTTCTAATGTGCCCATCACCAAGACATTTTTTGATGCAATAGTCTTCAGATCAGTAATAGTGTTTATTTCAGATAGGTGCAGTAACTATAAATTCCACATTCACATTGTCCATCTTTCAAATCTTTGGGTATGTCTAGACTACATGGCTCCATCCACAGAGCCATGTAGATGAGTTTACTAGACATAGGAAAATTAAGTGGTGATTTAAATAATTGCAGCTTCATTTACATCAAAATGGCCACCGTGCTGTGCCGATCAGCTGTTTGGCGGCACAGTGGGGCAGTCTGAACGTTCCTCGGTTGACAAGGGAAGCCTTTGTCAACCGCTCCGGTATGCCTCGTGAAATGAGGTTTACCAGAGCGGTCGACAAAGGTTTCCTTTGTCAACTGCAGCGTATCCAGACTGCCCCGCTGTGGCTCCCAACAGCCGGTCGGCACC